TATTATTATTTTTTATTATTATTATTTTTTATTTTATTGATGAACCGAGATGAATCGAACCAAAGTCACCGTGGCGTGCCAGGCTTGTCAAAAAAAAAGGTTAAATGCACTGGTGTCGCTCCATGTACTAACTGTAATAGAACTGGTCATCAATGCGAATTTACTGGCACTGCTAAAAAACGTGGTCCTAGAAATGGTACCGTCGAGGTGATCAAAAGTTCGGCTAGTAGAATTGAGAATGTTTTGGAAAAAAATCCAAGTTTACGACCTCAAATCGAACAAATGATGAAACATAGCTCCTCGGTCCGTTCGTCGAGATCCCCTTATGATGTATCCCTTAACCCCATAATGATGGATGCTTCTCGATCTCATGCTATTCATAATACCTCTCGAACTTTTCCGTATCCTGCGCCAAGAGGTCATTATTCACAACGAAAACATGGTAAAAAATTTTGCTCTTTTTTTTCATTACAATATTTTCTCGTTTCTTTTTTTTTAAAAAAAATATAAATTTTTATTCAATTTTTTTTAAAAATTAATTTTTTTAGATCGAATGAATTTATATGCATATTCTCGAGATGATAATTCTATTGAATTACAGTCCCCTCATGAGATCAGACAGGAAGTCGTGCGACCTGTGCCGAAGTATCCCTTAAACATGAGAAATCATGTGACTAACGGAATTTCAGATCAATTCTCCGCAAATTCAAATTCGTCGCATAATATCAATACTGTTGCCATTCCACAATCATTACCACCGATCACCACATTAGAAACTTCCCCGCTTGTGGAGTGCTCTTCTGCACAATTAAATGCTCCACTTAAACCCAGATTGCTGTTAACCGGCACACTATCCGACGTGCCACGACCTCGACAGACAAATGCAAGTCCATTACCACCTTTGTTGCAATCATTGGGCGAAGATTCTATGAAATTACCAATTCCTTGGATGGCACAACAGCCGAAAAAATCCATGTCAATGCCGATTCTTGGAAATTCTGCCGGTATCCATTTATTACTTTCTCCTGCGCCAGATTTGGGGAATCCTCTCGATAATAATCGTCATTTGGTTCAAATGAACCCTCAATTTTCTACTGACTGTTCATCTGCCACTTATGATGCATCAAAATCTGAAAAAACTTC